AGAAAAGATATACAAATAATACTAGAAATCTTACTCGTAACTCTAAGAAAAAAAAAAAATACTCAAAACAACATCAAAATTAGTTTTAACCACCACAAATAAGCACGGTTTAATGCCGCAACAGGCTTTTCTGTAATGTCAACAATCACCAACTTTTTTAGGTGCAGAATAATTCATTCCATATATTAAGTTATTGTTCATATTATTTGTAAAACAATCCACCGATTTGATTTTTTTTTCAATAACCTGTTACATGAAATTTTGCTATAAAATGACGTGGAGAATAACAAACGAAACATTCAATAAAAAAGTTTTTTAGCCTCTATATGAGATAAATAAGCAAAAAAAACAGCTACTCTAAGCTGTAAAAGAAAGGATTATTGAAGCGTTCTGGTATTTTCGAGTAGTGAAGGATTGATTTGTCATTGAACGATTGGTTGTATAATGGGTAAGAATGCAATTTTTTTTTTCCGGGTCTTTTAAGCTTACTTTCAGCTAATAATTAAACATGTAGATATTACAATATTCTATATACAGTCATACCTGAGTTATATCCCCACTGGGTTATATCCCAACCTGAGTTATATCCCCATATTTAAACAGAATAAATTCTTTTTTTTATATGTATTTAGATGTTTTATATATTGAGTTATATCCCTGCCTTAGTTATATCCCCAAAAATGCTCTGGAAAAAAGGGGTGATATAACCCAGGTATGACTGTATTTAATTATGGATTCAAAGTAAGTTTAACAGACCATTTTTGTAAAAACTCGCTTTATAATAAATTTTAACGACAAATAATTTTCAAACATGAATGGCTGATTTTGGGGTCAAACAAAATCGGTCGATATGGTAAATAAATAAAGTTTATCGCGTTTTGCTCGAAATTTTTTTTTTGAAGATTGATTTTTTTTTAATACCCGTTTGCCTTAACAAGGTGAATATTTTTATTAGGAAATTATTTTGTCCGGTTGATATTTAGGATGGATATGGATATTTTAAAAATTCACAAAGTTTGAATACACATTGTCACTAAAATTCTTCAGATAAATTACTAATCATTGACTTTTAGAATAGCGACTTGCCAAATTTCTTATACTGTATTTTTTCTTTGACTAATACATGTTTCTAGTATTTATTCAAGAGGTTCATGAGCAAAGATTTATATTATTATGATTAAAAAAAAATTGTGAAAATACTTAACGATATTTAACGAGTAAACAGCGAACACAATAAACACTTTTTTTTTTTTTGCTTTATATGAATAATTTGTACCGTATTGTCGCGGAATAACGGGCATGGGCGTTATTTAGAAAATCGTACCCTATGAAAATAGCATAAATGATTTCAAAATAACGCCATGCCATGCGCGTCCCGAAATAACGCACACCCTATAAGGTGTAGAGTTGCAAGTGAAGCTGGTGAAAATTTGGTAAGTGCTGGTGAAACTGGTCAAAATAAATATAATAGTCCATACGAAACTCGGTTTAAACTGGCAAAACTCAAAATTAGTTTCACTTGCAACTCTAATAAGGTATCAACCCGGGTATATAATAATTTGAAAAACCAAGTTCGGGAAAATTATCTTTGTCCCAAAATAACGCACATGCGCATACTCTAAATAACGCGCATATATTCAAAATAACGCGCAGGTGGGCGTTATTTCGCGACAATACGGTAACATAATTG